GGGGGGGTGGGTTCTAGGGGATTCCTTGTACTAGCTTTTCATGGTGACAGAAATATTTTAAGAGTATTCCGCATAACCTTTGTATGACTGGGTTCAAATCAGATTCATCAGTCTTGAACAGCCCAAACTGCCCAATGTTGCTTCAATCAAAAAAATAAAACCAGCCCAATGTAGCAGATCGGCCATGACTGCGATTACCTGGTTGTGCAAGCAACCAATCCTAGACACACCATATGGCAAATAACTTGAGGAATCCAACAAGACCAAATAGATAGAGAATTGGCTTGATTTGACAGGGTAAACCCAATGCTTGATTGCACTTAAGTTTGAGGCATTAACAACAGCAAATCCAAGCAAATGTACTATTATGTACACATGTTACAATAGCAATGATAGGTCATATTCATTTTTCCATGTTCAATGACAAAAGGTCAATATTGCAAAGGAAAATTTTAAAACAAAGATCCTGATATCACAAACCACATTTGAGACCATAACCTTTTTTGCAGAGTTTTTTTAGTGGATTGATCCTAGGAGAAGTATGGGTATTGAGTAAACCATCTCCCTTTATCAAATGTTTTGACATTGACTTAAGAGTTGCACAACGGCATTCAAAATAGTCAGACTGATTTAACATGGCTATTTATGTTCATCCTTTTATAGTCCCCTGGGTCATACTAGACATTTTTGTCCTAATAAATGCAGCTTCATCATGGAAACTGCAGCTGCAATATGGGAGCAGGGGAGGTTTTAATTACGACATCTGTCCCTAATGCACAATTCCTGGCTGAGAAACACAAAGGGCAAATTACTCTAGTACGGATAGTAACCATACAAAACCAGAAAATTATGCTTTAACCATCGTATGACAAGACCTTACCAGTCCATGTAAACAAAAGTAGAGGAATAGTTGCCAGACTTGGTATACAACAGTCTGTGATGGTAGTCATGAAAATCAGCGCTACAAGATTCAAACAAATCTCAGGTGGATAATATGGACAAAAAAGGGAGGGCCAGAGACTGCTAAGCAACGAGCAAAAAGAATGTTTTTACTAACCCGCCATAAAAAGGCAAGAAGTTTGATAGGCTCCATGGGAAATGGTAACCACAATGTGCCTCAACCGTCTCCAGGACTCTAAGTACCATCCATAACCAGAGAGTTATTAGATGGGGCCCAGTGATGGCAGGACCAACAATCGTAGCAAATCCAAGGAAGAGTATTTCAGCTGGGTGAGCATATTCAGAAGTCAGGCCAAATGGTGTTGCATACCTATGGATATGTCATGAGCCAATTAATACACACCAAAACCAAGATAAATAAGATGCTCAATAAAATTTATAAAAGCACTTAATGCTTTGCCCTTACTCATGATGAACACTGTGGACATGCTTGTACAGCCATTTTGTATGTAAAATCCTGTGGCCCCAATAGAATACAAAATCCTCCAGGATGAAGTAGAATAAAAGCTGTGTAGAAATCACTGTCCTGCACAACCAAAAGGTTTCATTAATCAATCTACAAAAAAAAAATAATACGCGTTTGTGTTCTGCTATGTAATTTGCAGAAATGAACAATATTTTGACGGAGTTGGAGGATCCAAGCATATAGATATAATGGAGTATCGCATACAACAATGTCTAGATAATTAAGCTTTAGTGCATAAAGAACCTGAAAATACCAGGACGGCAAGGGGAGACTACTTTTCATGCCCATTGATCTAAAGACAGGATACGAAAGAATCATAACTGGCAAATTGACACATAGATGATACAGCACAAGGCGCATGATACATTTCTCCTGAGCTGCAGGGGAGTTATTTTTAGTCTGCACAGAACAGGAAATCAATGATACTAATAAATTTAAATCAAGCAAGACAAGGCCAAACAAGTAACATACGTCAGAGAAAATGATATAGCATCAACAAAGATGGCAAATTAGCTGTCATTATTTAATAAGTATGAGAAGCTTAATGGACTTAATCTGCACATATAAAAAAACTTTTTCACACTTAAAACATGTCAACAACTTTCATCGTCACACTTCAGCATTGCCTTTTATGCCCTTATCACTGAGGTTCCAGTATTTTATAAAAACTAAGTTTACCAGCACTAAAGGATCTGGTATCCGACGGTGACAGAATGTTCCTGTACCAAGAGGCAAAAGTCCTCTCATCACTTTGCTCTTCTCAATACCCACACATTCGGCTGTATCAACACTCTACGTCAGACCCCAATAACATTCCCAAATTCCCCTCCACGACCCAGCTAATTAGGCCACAACTGCTTAGTTAATAAGGCTTAGTTGAACAGCTTAACCTCCTAATATTTACAAGTGACTTCTTCAGACGATATTGAAATTCCTCCCAATCCACCAGACGGTATTGAAATTCCTCATCAAGATGTCCCCTTAAGAAGATGCTCTGAGGTTTCAAGAGTTCCTCCACTCTTAATTCTCAATACCAGGATAGCAAAGATGCATGCGAAGTACGATGGCACAAACAAATGTATCAAATCTTAGTCCTTCATTAGTTCTTTCTGATTTTAAAATAATTCAATTCTTAGTCTGAATAAGTCATAATGCAGGTATAGTAACTGCCTCATTTTGCAATGTTCAACTTAAATATCATCATAAATTCAACTGGAAGAGCGGAAAATAACATCCTGGCATCAAGCTCATGTTCAGCTTGATTTGCAGTGAGTTCTGACTCACCAACAGGACATAATTTCCGGCATCATGAAGGAGCATCTGCAGAGAGGTCTCACGAACCGGATATACAGTATTGCATCATAAATAAGGTTCTTAAAGAATTAGTTTGTGATGTATACCCCACAAGACTAAAGCCAAAAAACATGTGTACTGAAAATACTTTAACATCAAACCAAAATTGCGGAATGGTTCATGAACTTTGTAAACTCTCGTCATTTGGAAAAAGAAGCAGTCATCAATGACATAAAAGGAAAAACTCTCTCAACAGAATGGCAATCCACATCACATGGTATACCTGATACAAAATCTTCAGCTTAGACCATCACACTGTGTACCGAAAGTATTTGAGAACTCATAACACAGTAATTATAAAATTCTAATTGAAGAAACTATTACTTATATTCAAATTTAGCTAAAAAGTCAATAGAGTAAACCTGAATTTTATACTTGCTCAGCCATCCTGCCCTTTCAAAATAGATAAATGGAAGGCCCGAGAAGAAAAAGACACTTTCATGAAGAAAGAAACTTCCGAGACATGCCAGTTGAAAGTCACTAAAATGAGTGATCAGATACTGCGCCACAAACAAATACAAATATCAAAATAAGCCAACATAGAGAAATAAACAAAATTGTTGATCATGTGAGGAAATAATATCAATTCTAAACCACCAGATGATCAGAAAGAAGTTGACAGATAGCTTCCTTCCTTTTCCACTAGAAAAGTGATAAATTAATAATTCCTAGCCCCAAAGTACAGGTTTTCTAGAGTTTGGCATCATAACCAGTTCTCACAGAATGAGTGTCCAAAGTCCAAACTCTACAGTGTGGCATTTCGCAATTCTAAAATGATGGGAGTTTCTACTTGAAGACACTGGGCCCTGGCCAATATTATGCCTGTTTTCTCATAAGAGTGAATTGTGATTTATGGCTAATGATTACGGCATCTCACAAGTTCATCACTGAGAGATCCACTAGATTCTAAGTATTGATCATCAGCTTCACTGCTTGCACACAGTACAACTAGCATAATTAATTTTTCAACATCTCCATAACGGTTTTCATCTTCTGGCGAATCCCACAGAAACATGTCCACTTTCCTTTGTAATTTTATAATTTTATAGAACCGCAGAACCTCAGCCAATATCGAGATTCAACAACGATCTAAAATACCATACTTCATGATGAACTACCATGACGCTACTGATTGATTCATATCCACAGTCATAAATTAAACACAATGCCTCCTCATTTTAGGTAGCTTCTTGAACCACCACAAGATTGACTTCAAAAACTATAAAATAATTGAACTAAACAAAACAAAGAATCATACCACCCATTCGCATTTTGTCATTTGTTTTTTGCCTAATCTCAAATCATAATGTATATTGCATCAGAAGAGGAAATTGTGAGCAGTAGCAAATTGGGGCTCATAGCTGAACGCCATTCTCACAAACGCAGCGGATAGAAGCAATGCTGTAAGTCGGCATTTCCATCTATCTATCTATGTGGTCAACAGAGACATACAATGTGTGTTTATGCATGCGTACTCACTGATTTTGGAATTTCGAAGAAATCAAACACGCAAATGCTCAAATGTGGTAGCAGAAACATCGAGCAAATAGATCAAATCTAGATGGTTAAAGAATTTCTCGAATGTCGGCGAGCGAAAGGCAATCAATCCAATAGTAATTTAAGCAGTAGAAATCAATACCGTCCAAGCAGTTTCGAAGATCGAAGCCATGAGAATCGGCAAGAATAAGCTAATCTCCGGCAATAGCAAAGATATTTGAGAGAGAGAGAAACTAGAAGAAGAAGCGGCCACTAGAAGACAGTGTCCGTGTGCGTGTGCGTGTGCGTGTGTGTTGGAGGAGCACTAAGGAGATCGAGAGCAAGGGACCCATGAGAGGAGTCGAGACACTCTGTCACACGAATGTGAGCCGGTGGCCCTTATTTATATGCAATCACACGCATGACAACGTCACCAGTTGGGACCTTAGCTGGTTCTACCGGATTAAGGGGATTAAGGGTTATTGTGTGCTTTCCCATTGACGGTGATAATTCTGATCGAAAAATGAAAAATAGATACTGGTAATGAAATATGCTACTATGGGACTTGAACGGGCTGATAAATTTTGATCATTATTTAATAATTAGATTTAAACACGTGGCATGTTGCATGTACTGAAAAGTATTATTTAGAATGATTCTACTACGACATAGCAGATAGCTAGGTTATTCCGGCCGAGCTAAAATTGGTCTGACTTAGTAAAGGATAAACATTGACCGAGCAGATACCTAGACTATCCCGGCTGAGCTAAAATTGGTCCGACCTAGTAGAGGATAAAACTTCACCAAACAGACAGTTAGGTTGTCTCGGCCGAGCAGAGGATAAGATCCGACCAAGTTGCCATCAAATAACAACTGAGCTGATCAGAATGCTCAGAAAGAAAGGAATGAACTCGGTCTTCGTCACGACCGAGCTGTTTAAAATAGTAACGTGGTGCTAAAAAAATGACTACAATTCAGGGATTCTGGTTAAACGAGTGGGCATGATCATAGGCTCAGTAGAAGGAATTGCAGGAGAGATCTTAACAATTTCGTGAACAGAATCACCTGATTAAGGGAAGGTGTACTACCTTAAATCAAAAATCATGGAAATCTTAACTAAAAAAGACTCTATAAAAGGCATTAGGAGTCAAGGTGAAAGATACGCTGAACTCTCCTTATCTTCTTACAATTGTCTCAGTTTCATTATTGACTTAAGAATCGGAGTAACTTCGATCGAAGCACTTCGATCTTAGGTAGTTTGTTCGTTTTGTAGGAAGTAAAGACTGAGAGATCAAGTTCAGAGCTCACTCTTATCATAAACTTTCATTCTTTATTCTTGTAAGACGTATCCTCAATTTTTATCCCTTACATTTTGGCGTCGTCGGTGGGAAACGATAATCAAGTTTCCCTGAATTACAAAAATATGAGTACTTCAACAATCTTATTTTGATATTGTAACGGGCATTTGTTGATGGGTCAGTAAGTGCAACAATAAACTGCACAAGAATAGCGTACAGAGCTATTTATGTAAACAACACAAGGATTTGATCATTTTGTGTGAGTATGAATAAAAAAAAAGGAAGCAATTCGTCCCCAGCAATAGTGTGCCACCATGCACAGTGGCTGTTGGCCTAATAAAATAGGCTTGTGGAGCAAGGAGTAATATTAGTCATACACTACAATTGAAGAGGAAACCACAGAACCCTTTACTTGGGTCCCATGCGTTCAACACCAAGTGATGAGAAATTCAACCATAGAGGTCAACCAGCGAGAATTGAACGATATATCAAAGTGCACCACTCAATTCGCGGTAGGCAAGACCTACATGGATAAAGATAAACTCTCTAAGAATCCAACTGCACGTGATCTCATTGGCATATTCTCACACATTTTTTTCTCATTTGGAGGAATCATCAATCAGGTTATTTTGTTCCTTCTTTTAAATAATTTTTGTTACTTATTATATATTGGGTTAACGTTCTTAGAGTAGCGTACACTGGATATGGACTTAAAGAAGGGTGATTCCTAACAATGATTATCCATCTTGGAATTTATCAATCAGGAAAAACATGGTTGTATAACTTATCACTATGCACCTAATCAGTCCGACCATTATTTAGTTAATCTATTATGTTCCTATTTGGTATGTGGACCCATAGGAAAAAATTGACTACTTATCTCTCGAATTAAAAAAAAATGTTAACACATTATACTCACATAGGGATCATAGAGAAGCCATCGGTGTCCGACTCTATAATGTCGATTTCTTTGAATATGATATTATGCCTTTAGGGTGACATTGAATACAAGCATAGAATTGTTTAGTCGTAAGTGACTCTACTAGAGACATGTCGAAAATAGTGGGACCAACCACAACCTACGTCTGTTATTAAAGTGCCCTTATGCCCATTAGTAGCGTCCATTTAATCATAAGACATATTGCCTTATCTCCCATATCTTGTTGGGTTAATTGTTTGATCATCTTTGAACTTTATGAAACAAAGTAGAATTATTTCATACAATGTAGAGTGAATGCAAAGAATTATTACAAAGATACTCACATCAACCTTCCCATACATGTCACCACCAGATTTATATTAGATAAAACATGAAACAATAGCAATTGAGCACTTCGCCAGTGAATTAAAAGAAATGAAACAAATCATGTGTTATTATTGTAATTGTATGGTTGGTCAGGAATTATATTCTCTGCAATATACTTAAGGGTTTGTATTACTAAGTTTATGTAGATAGATCATAGAAGTCTAGAGCTTCTTCACTCTCTTGGCATACACTTGTTTCTAACATTTTATTGTGAAAGGAAAAGCTATTTATATTGACTCGGGTTCAATATCAAAGAAAAGAAGCTATTTCTACGACGCTTGATATTTCTATGCAAATTCAATTATCAAGATGNCCAAAAAATCAAAGGACTCATCAACCCGAGTAGAAGTTAATAAGGACGCTTGTGCTAAGGAAAACCCATGGAGAGCATTTCTCGAAAGATCAAGTTTTCAATGACACCGTGGGCAAAGAATTTCATCGAGCTCTCACCAATAAGTGGTCAGTCTATCGCAGGGGATCACAAGGAAAAGAGCACACCGCTAGAGTTCACTCTCTTTGCAAGAGAATTATTCAAGTATATTGTCGAACATCAGTAATGCATCAAGTGGAACACCATCAACAACCTGACAAAGAATAATGTCACCATATCATCAAGAATGCCCCCTAGCTGTTGAAATCCAGCTCTCAGTCTACAACTTGACCACTATAAGGTGGCAAGGCTACATGCACACGATAAAGGGCTGAGTATGGACCAAGCGAAACAGAACTTCACAATTTATTCCTGCTCTTACCATAGTTCTTTCCATGTGGTGGAATACTATATATAGGGCACATGTAGATCCAAAATGAGCCTTGGGAGACAGCTTNATTTATTCCTGCTCTTACCAAAGTTCTTTCCATGTGGTGGAATACTATATATAGGGCACATGTAGATCCAAAATGAGCCTTGGGAGACAGCTTGAAAATTCCTTGATGAAAGGAAAAGATCCAAAATAGTAACAAAATCCATAGTACTTCATCAACACGAATCACAGCTAGGCATTAAAAAGTCAAACATTGCATGTGTCCCCGCAATATAGTAAGTCCAGGTCGAAGAAGGTGTGGGATGTACCAAGTGCACCTTCCCTCAAGTCAATACGTTAATTGATAGAAACTACAAGCCAAAATAAGAATTGACATCCTTTTATAAATGATATGCCTAAGCTCTTGAGCTGGGATTATTGATGCTGTATCACTTCAAGGGAGTGCCTCCCATATACATACATGATTGAGTTTTTGAGTTGCACCTTCAGCGGAGTACCTCCCGCAAGTGAAAAAGATTGGAATTTAGAGCTAATCTTTTTGTGGAGTACCTACAACGGGAAAGATGCCTAATAGCGGAGTACCTCCCGCAAAAGAATAAGATTGAGCTTCAGAGCTAATCTTTTTGTAGAGTATCTACCACAGGAAAGATGTCTAACGGTGGAGTACCTCTTGCGAGTAAATAAGATTGAGCCATAAAACTAATTNAGATTATTTACTACTATGAATTGCTATTCATGGACGAATGTTTAGCATGCAAGAGGTCTTCTTCATCCATGCTTCACGTGAGTAAAATGTCTTGATGGATATGTGCTCACATGTTATTCAATATACTTTGAGATNCGAGTAAATAAGATTGAGCCATAAAACTAATTTTTGTGGAGTACCTGCCACATCAAAGCCCCGAGAAGACTCGAGCATAGGTCAACATATTGCTAAGGTAGAGAGGAAAAAATCCTGACAGAGGCAAGGACCTAGCTCAGGTGCATCCATCCGATCAAATTTAGGCCCATGGCTAGGCACGACGGTGTAAGCCATATGGGTAAAGTTTGAAGACCAATTAGATCGGCGGATCTGTGCAAGGGTGACAATAAGTGACCAAGAATTGATGCTCGAACCCTTCAACGAGGCAGGTCCTCTTGGCTAGGGGAAGGGGGCACAAAAAATGCCTTTTTATGAGGAGCAATGCAAGGCAATTAATGAAAGAAAGGATTGTAAACAGAGAATATCTCCTAGTGTGCCACATGAAAAATATTCTATGGGGGCAAATGAACGGGTCAATAAATTTTGATCATTATTTAACAATTAGATTTGGACACGTGGCAAGTTGCATGTACTGAAAAGTATTATTTAGAACGACTCTACTACGATCGAGCAGATAGCTAGGCTATCTTGGCCGAGCTAAAATTGGTCTGACCTAATAAAGGATAAACCTCGACCGAGCTAAAATTGGTCCGACCTAGTAGAGGATAAAACTCGACCCAACAGATAGTGAAGTTTTTCCAGCCGAGCAAAGGATGAGATCCGACCAAGTTGTCATCAAATAGCAACCGAGTTGATCAGAAAGCTCATAAAGGAAGGAATGAACTTGGTCCTCGTCACGACCAAGCTATTTAAAATAGTAACGTGGTGCTAAAAAGATGCCTACAATTCAGGCATTCTGGTTAAACAACTTTCTGAATAGAATCACCTGATTAGGGGAAGATGTACCACCATGAATCAAAAATCATGGAAACCCAAACTAAAAAAGACCCTACAAAAGGCATAAGGAGTCAAGGTGAAAATTACGCTAAACTCTCCTTGTCTTCTTGCAATTGTCTCAGTTTC